TTTTTTAAATTCTTGCCTCAATATATTGAGGCAAGAATTTAAAAAATATTTGTGCTTTAGAGTCCTGTATCAAAGCATGTACCGTTGATAGCAATTCAAGCACACAAAGGAGATATTGATGACTTGGATGTTTCACCAAATGGTAAATTGTGCATCAGTGTGGGGCACGATTGTGGTGTGCATATTTGGAATACTTTAACTGGCGAAAAACTTCGCACTTTGTCTATTCCAGAAAAAATTGATGATGGCTTTAGAGTATGTATATTCCGAAATCAGAAATGCATATTTTATTCTTAAAAATTTTGTACCAGCCAAACTCAAATTGAGAAGCTAGTAAAAAAAGCAACTTAAGAAGTTAATAATGGATACCATAATTATTTTGATGTTCACCTGATTTTATTTTCGATCCTTGGAATTTATTGTAATATGCATAATTGAGCAGCCTCTCAGTCTCATTTCATTTACATTATCTTCGATGCAAGTTAATGTGAAAGGTCCGATCAGTGCGGTTCACTAGTCTTGGTTCGATAAATACTATATTTCTCGCCACTTACAATCAGATTCGACTCTCAAAAAAAGCTGTATCTTATGCTGCATTGTGGGCATTCAACCATGAACGGAGCATTTGCCGACCAATACTTGTTCGTGAAGCCTGCAGAGAAGTTATTAGATCTCTTGCTTAACGTTTGAAATTCTAATCGAATCGTGCAACTGCCATTACATTTTTTTCCATTCTAGATTTATCTTTAATCACAAGAATAACAATATTTATTAAAACTTTAGAGGCAATATTTTATAACTCAATTTTAGCCCGATATATTTACGAATTTGATAACACTATGTAATTGTCTTGCTTTTGGCAACATGAAATTTTTGATCACTTAGTTATTTTTCCGCTTGACTAATTTGTATGAAAGATTTCAGACAATATCAACATTATCCGTTAGTGACTGTGGAAAATTTTTTGCTATTGGGACAATGGATGGAAGTGTGGGTATATATGACACACATGATTTGAAACCATTATATTTTTCGCATAAAACACATAACATTTTTGTGACAGGTTATTACTTTTTATTCATTTATTTTCGAATATCACAGTTTTGATTATCTGAAGATGCCTATTTTGTGTTTTTTACGTCTTCAGGTATTGATTTTCTCCCTCGAAAAACATTTGATTTTGGACCTTTGTTTGGTGATAATAGTAGACAGCGCTGTATTTATCCAGGCATAGCTTCCGAATATCGAGCAGCCATAATTTCTCTCAGTGCCGATCAAACAGTCCAATTTCATTCTGTTCCTTACTCGAAACCCAATTCTTTAACCGATTTTTTACTTAAGCTGTCATTCATAACACTTTTATTGTATTACATTATTTGGTATATTTGCGATTATCAGAAGATAAATCGCTTAGAATAGGATTCGATATTCTTTTGTTAAAATTTGTAACTTTTCCCATGAATGTAGAGCATGTGCAAAGTAAATTACTAGCACTAAATTTGCTCTAGATATCTCAATTGTTTCAACAGTTGAATGAAGTTTGAATAATATAATAGATTCTGTATGTGAAGGAAGAACGTCCATAGCTTACACTTATTTATTCCATTAAGCACCAACCTGTTCATAGTACTGTTCCTGAATAAATCTATAGCAGTATTCTATTCTAATTCAGTTGAAGGTTGATTTTTTGTATCTGACACATAGTTGTACTCTTTGTTTGCTTATGGTGTCTTCATTTTGCATCTTTTACGTTTGGTATTCTTTATTGTGAGGGAAATATGGATTTTCTTTGTTGGTGACGGCTTAGTGGCGTAATGCGTCATTTAAATTTAATTTTTATGTGGTAAATCTTGGCACAAGTTCTTGAGTTTGAATAATTTCTTTATTTCAAGAACATTTATTTATATATATATATTTTCGTTTGACCTTAGTCATTCCAGCAACTGCACTGAATGCGGTCGAATTAGAGTTATTTCGGAGTTGGCAGATAATCGTGAAATTTTTAAATAATATGAATTTTTTATTTTAGATCACTAGTTTATTGCTATCTTAGCAAACAAAGAAGTTTCAAGATGTCAGAGTCAGCGATTGGTAAAGGTGGAATGCCTTGTGCAGATATGAACCATTTCAGAGGTGGTTTTTGGCTCTGCGAGTCAAGTTTCTCTGTAAAAATTTTTATATCTTGTGAAAATCAGGTGGGGATTATTGTCATCTCTGCTAGGAAAAGTTATTATGGTCGTGATTGGAGGATATCTGTCATTTAATTGTCGAATTCTAGGCTGTCAGTAGCAAATATTAATTCTCATTTGTATACAGCAATGTTTTTTATAGGGAGAAGGAAGCAGTGGAAAAGCTTTTCATTTGCGTTATTGATTGCTCAAAAATTGTTATTATCATATTTTCAGGTAAAAAATTGCTAGATGTTAAAGGATGTGCAACTCCTCGCCGTGCTTTAGGCGACTTGAAAAATGTCACTTCTACACCAGTTAGCTCTGCAGTTAATAGAAAAATTTTGGAAAAGCCTCAGCTACCATTCGATATTTACCAAGAATCTGAAAGTGACATTGTGAGCAGAATTCACTTAGTTTTTGGATTTTTTAATGATTTCTATTTTAGTCAAGTTAATGTCTATATGTTAATTTTTTCAACGAAAAAAATTAATCTAGAAGTTAGAATATCTAGATCTAACTGTGATACAAGAACTTATTGCCTGCAACTTTGTAAAGTTATCTCGTCTTAGATATTTTATTTATGATATGGTGATTTCCCAGTGCACTGGTCATCCATGATTGCATTTAAGAGAAGAGATTTGACTCCCCCTGTTGAAATTGAAGAAGGCGAAGACGACCGAGTTGAAAAATTTAATTTCGAAGAACATACGGGTGGGTGATGGAAAATATTTTCCTGATAATTTCGACTAAAATTTTCTGTATATAAATATAAATAAATATTCATTTTCACAATTTACAATAAGTGTTTTGTAATAGATTTTTTGGACATGAAATGCTTTTCCAAATAAATAGTTTCTATTTTCCAGTCAACAGCTTTTTATGAAAAAAATTTAATTGAAAGCTTTGAATATTTTAGAAACTTACGAAGAAATGTTTCCAAAATTGGAACAAAGAATCGATGTATCAGATTTGCTGTATAGCGTCCAAAATAATGATCGGTTTCTACGAAGTTTATTCAGAGAACTGTTAGATGATGACGATATCAGACTGCTCGAAAAAAGTGGGCTAAATCTTGTGTAATTATTTATTGGTTTATATATATGTCATTGCGCGACATAGAAAAAATAACTTTTCAAGTTATATATTTAAAAGTTGAAAATAAGTGGTGAATTTTAGAAAATCCGCTTACGAATGACGATTGTGAAAAAGCGCTTTCTGAAATTTTGGGTGGTGTCTCCAGTCATATGTGATAACATAAAGTGATTTTTACACAGTGATTTTTTTTATTATCGTGTATGAAATGCTTTCAATTTCATCTGTTTATTCGGCGACTAGTCTTGAGTTTATTTCATAAACAGATTTATGAATGTTTTGTAAGGTTTCAGAATTCATATATGAAGCTTGAAAGTATGCCAATTTTTAAGTTTCTGGAGGTTGAAGTTTTCAAGTTTCAATGGAAATCGTACAAGAAAGCTAACGATATCAATCAATGTAAACAAGCAATTATTGATCTCACATTTTACTAATCGATTTTTCCAGTAATTTTGTCAGTGTGAAAAGGGAAAATTAAAGTTTTAAATGAGATTTTCCTAATTTGTTATACACTTGTTAGCTGTACTGACTAGATTCAAATCTGTTTTAAAATAGTGTAATTCCAAAATAGATTTGAAAAGGATCAATAACTTTGAAGGAAGATTGCAACAAGAGCTAGCAACATTAATGATTATCAGTGTGGTACTTATGATTGTGGTAAGTACGGTCTTGGATGCTGGGTCAGGTATTCATTCCACTCGATCTATGTTTATTGTGATAGAATGTACACACGGATACGAAGTATTCTTAGTTATTTCGGTTTTCAAAATGTTGCATATCTGAAGTGGTGTTTGTATTTTATTTTCAAGTTTAATATTCAGTACTTCAATATGGCTAATAGATTAGTGGAAACATCGTAAATAATGGTATGGTATCAGTGAGTGTCTCTACTGTTTTTTAGTATTTATAAGGCTTTTCTAAAGTGAATTTTTAATGTAAAGGTCTAAATTTTTCAAACTCGATTCTTTGCATTATTTTTGACTTTTGTTTAGTTCAATTTTTGACCCTTTTTGATTATTCTTCTCTTAATTTTGGAAACTAAATAGAGTATGATAGAATTTGCTTGTGCTAAATTATCGAAAATTTTGCCTCTTTAGAATAACCGTGAACTTTGTATTGTTCTTTTTCTAATTGCAGTGGAAAAAAATAGTCTTAGAAATTATCAGTCTTATAAAAGAACGTCTTGAAATTATCAGAAAATATAGTCTTAAAATTATCGGTTTTATAACTGTAAACTGTCACCATACAGTACTTATTGAACACATTATGTAGAATTATACTTTGCGTATTTTCAGCATACTTTTGGAAAATATCCGGCTATTTCTCAATTTTTATGTTGAGTATTTGTTTTTTACTTTCAAACTGCCAAGGTTTTCAGTAACTATGAATGCATTAGTGTAGAAATAATTGAAAAGTAGCGGAGTAGGATGTCATTTTAAAAGGTAGCAAAAGAGTATCGCTTAATTACTAAGTTAATTATAATTTTTTTCAATATGTGTAAATTGATGTAATTACTGAGTTAATTATAATTTTATGTAATTTCAGATGTTCAGTTACTGACTTGATCCATATGTATTCTTTATTTAATATTATTTCAGTATATACTTTGATTGTAATGTTTTTCCCATGAAACTTTTCACTAAATTTTTCAAAAAATTTTATATTTCAGTTGATTGCTTAGCCAAATGTTATTAAAATTGGTGCCAATTTCTAGCGAAATTTGAATAAACAAAAATGAGTATTTGGATAAAAGCTCTCTAAATCATATCAAAATATTAAATACAATTTCTTGATTGAGCTTAATTATATTCCTTGTTTTTGTGTTATTACTTTTGCATATATTTTGATGTAATGGTTATTATTTATTAGTTATACTCTTTGATAATGTATTAGTTTTGCAAAAATTCGTTTTATTCCTTCAGAAAAAAGCAATATTTGCTTGCCAAGCTGAGTATAAATAATTTTGCTACAAAATAATTAAATTTGAAGTTCAATGGCAAGTTTGTATCAAATAACTCGAACTACGAAAGATTCGAGTACTGCTTTTTGTTTCTTATAACTCAAGCGAACTTTTCAGCTTTCATACAAAATGAAAGTTAGAAAATTTGGTTAATAAAGAGTAATAAAAATAAATAAATTTCAACTATTAAATTTTTTTAAAACATTTTAGTTCTTCTGAAATCATTGCATATGTCTGATGGGTTTGAGCTGATGTTATGTTTTTGTAATAATAATTGATAAGTTTTTTCGTTATGAATCTAAAATTAAAAATATTGCTTAAAGAATACTTAAAGCGTAATTGCAATAGTGATGTATGGCTTATTTGGATACCTTCCAATTTGATAATATCTGCTAAATCATCTATAAGAAACTTCTCTATCTTTAATTAATCTTTTTTCACTAAAAAATTCAATGTTGCTTTAAGGATAATACTGGTTATTGTTTCTATATTCCTAAGCTTTACAGTTTTAATTATTTGACCGAAACTTGCCATCATGATGCTTGATTCAAATTTATTTATTAAAAACTTCTAGCAGTGTTTCACTTAGCAATTTGCCATCACTAAGTTAATTACAATTTTTTTGATATTTATTATTGTTCATATTCAATAAAAATAATGTAATTTTACTTACTAATTATTTCATTATTAACAGAATCAAATTTTCTAAATGCGAATTTGCGTTATTTTTGATCTGCATTTAATTATCCAAAATTATTCACTAATTCCTCCAAGAAAATATTTTTTATTTATTTTTGACTTATCGAAATTTGAAATAAACATATTGAACATTTTTTAAAGTTTTAAATTACAAGAATATTTAGTAACTGTTGGCTGAAAAATTTACCGTTCGTTCTTTACTTTTATTTTACTGAACAGATTTTGTGATACTAAATTTTTGAGTAACAAATCTTTTTTTTTGCTTCAATGCAATAATTATTCGCTTATTTATATTCAAAAACAAAATTTGAAGCAACAATCTTATGATATTTTTGGTTTCAGTATGTTGTTGATGATTTTGCGAAGTATTTTTATTTTATAGCAAATATTCAATTTTTAGATTAATTATCATAGCAAGAACTTGTTTTACATGAGTTCATTTTGACATCTTAACTCTAAACCAGAAGTTAGAAAGTATGGGTTGTACTTAATGCACTTAATACAAATTATTTAAAGTTAAAATATTCATACGAATAAATAAAACAATTTTATTGAGATATTAAATATCAAAATAATTCTGCTGCAGGTCGTACTGTACAACACGAAGGTTAAGCTTACAGTTAATTGCTTCCTTACAGTCAATTGCACACTGTTCGTTTGCTAATTATGATTATAATTTCATGTATGAAAAAAGTAATATTTATAGGAATAATTTTCTTTTAGTTTAAATAAACTAACTGATTCATTCTTGACCTTAATACTTATTTAATATTATTATTTCCTGCTAACTTTGAATTTGCATACATCTCTCTGAACTTACTATCAGCTTTATTTACCAATTCTTCAGCATTTCTACTCGAAAATATCAACTATATTGTCCTTGTAAAGTGTTTCTTTAGTCAAATGTATATATTTACTTATTTGTAATTTTTTTTCGCTTGATCTTATCGATTTTCGATTGAAAATATTTGCATAAATAATTAAGTTATGATAAATAGTTTTGAAGCAAATTCTTCTTTGAATACTTGAATTTAACTCTATTTATGTTAAATTTCATATAAGAATTAGATATTAGACTGAATATAATCATGTAAACAAAGCTATAAGAGTTAAAGTAATGGCCTGATGTAATGATATATTTATTATTACTATGTCAAGTAATCTCTGCTAATTCAGTAAATTTTTAAATTTTTTGACTATTTTATCAGTCCTGTTTTCTTTTTTAAATGTGCTAACAATTTCTTAGCTTATATCAAAGTATTTTTATACAACATTTTTGTATTTATGTAATTAATTGTTTTGGCGCACAGATTAATTTGATAATGGTGCCAGTCATATTAAGAAATCAGCAAGAATGATGATTGTGATAATAACGATTTAATACAGAAGATATTGTTTAAATTGATTTGAAATTTGCATAATTACTATTATTGAATAAAATAAATATGAAGTCTTAAAAATTATTGCAAGTACAATTTTGAATTGATAAAGATGTCTTGAAAATTTGTGATTACTTGCAGCCAAAATGACTTTAAAATAAATTTTTAAAAAAACAAAATTTATGAGAAAAGACTGAAAAGAAAATATTTATTAGTAAAGTGAAAATGCTATTTTTTAGCTTGGCTAGAAGTCTTAAAAAAGCAATCTTAGAGTGATCTAAAATTAGTCCGACAAATTTAAAGATTTAAAAAATGGAAACTGAAAGAAATGTTATAATATTAGCAATAATTTTGATTTAGCATTTATTTTTACTTTTTTTTTGATAAATGTAACAAAATATTGTGAAAAAAAGTAAGATTTCTTGGAAAGTCGATTATACATTTGAAAAAATAGATCCATGGAAACGGACTTGTATGAATAATTATTTTTTTGCCAAATAGTGAAAATGCTAGCATTTTTATTTACCAACTAAACATAGCACTATTCGATCTTAAATATAAAGTTGGAATACGAAAATAAAACTTAATTGAAAATTGCAGTAAGTAAAATAGTAATTGCAAATATTTTTATTCTAAATTAAATGTAAAAGTTTTGATTCAAATTCGTTGCAGAAAAAAGTATTAAAGAAAAAGTATACTTATGATTATTTGACTTCTTTAAGTTTTGCTTCTTGGCCTCAGGCTGAAAAGTAGTGATAAATAGGATATCCCCAGGGAATCAAACTATGCTTATCCATTTTCTTGAATCTATTTTCTTTTTTTCCTTATTTTATAATTTCAATACTTCTAGAAAGCTGAAAATGTCAGACAAAATCATTTATTTTCTAGATTGTACTAATTTTGACACCTCCTTCTTACTTATATGTAAATCTATCTAATTTATTGCTGCCTTTTTTAAACATTTAAATTTTATTGTTATTTTAAATTTTTACCAAGTTAGTCGTTGCTTTATTTGAATTTTATCCTCCTGCTTTAGCTGTAGATACTGTGTTCATTCAAAAATATACATAAAATTTAGTAAATTTTGTGATTTCTTTTGAAGTAAAATTCGACAAGCATTTTGTTTCTATTTTGAATGTTAACATTTATTTACATTTCAAATTACTCATTCACTGACTCAAATATCATTGTATACAAAGATTTAAATAATCTACTATTAACACAAATATTTTTTACAAATTCTATTGTCACCACAAATTAGTATCAAAATTGGTGCATTTGATTGAATGATTATTTGTAATTTATAATAAAAGTTTAAATTAATCGAGCGAAAAATCAAATCAAAGATTAGTCTACTATTAAAAGCTTGAAGTGAATTTTTTTAGCGCTACAAATTTGAAATTCAAAACTAAATATGGAAAAATAAAAAATTGAAAGTTTGGATATTTTTCTTACCTCTTTTTTAAATGCTTTACATGATTGTATACAAGAGTGTAACTCATAGAACTTGAAGGATTCCATACCTACCATTTTGCTAAACATGCCTTCTATATACTTGCTGCAGTTGGTCGAAATCAAATTTATCTTTATAAACTTTATACAAAATAGCTTGGCAGATATGATTTTACCTTATTGTAGAATTCGAATTGGAGCGTGTACTGGATTTCAGTTTAGTAATCAGAACTGTTTTACTTTAATATTTTGGCATCAAAAAATACCATAACCGGTATATGTATATAATTGTAATTTTTCTTATGGAACTTGAAATACTTTTTAAACATTTCTGAATTTTTACAAAACTTTAGTATATCTTATTATCTCGGTAAAAATTGACATATCAATCAAAGCTGGGAAACAGAATCATAAATAAATCTAATATTCTTACTTTCTAATATTTATTAATTTTTTTAACTGTTCAAATTTTTTTAAGCAATTTTTTTAAGAAAAAAAAATCAAACAAAACAACAAATGTATAGCAAAAGGTTGTGCAAAGTTCAAGCTTAAATTTAGCTTTACTTTAAATACTATTTATAAGAACAAAAATTTACATGATTGACGTGCTTCATTTTTTATTAACTTTTGAACAAATAAAACTTTTTGCTTGCCAATTTAATCAACCAAAAATGCATTAAATATGGCTAAAATGTTTGTGGCAAAGTTCGTAATCAATCTTCAAGCCTTTACTTACTTGTTTCTTCTTTTTATGTCTAAATGTGAATGCATCAAAGTTTTACTTTTCACGCAAATGTTAACTGAATTTTTTTTTCAATTGTTGAAAATACAATGGCAATAAAATACTAAGACTTGTCTAGAGATATCATCTCGCTACTAAATAATATTCAATGTTTTGTTTAATTTTTTTTTGAGTTCCTTTTGATCTGTTGATGATTGACTTATCTATGTCTTTGAACAATAAAAAAAGTATAATTTAAAAATAAAAAAGTATAGTTTAAAAATAAAAAAAGGATAATTTGAAAATTTAAAAAAAGTTTAATAATAAAATTATTAAAGATCAATAAACCCTCTGATTAGTTTGCCAAATTGTTAGCTTGAAAATTTTTTAAATATTCGTTAGATAGCTTGAACTGGATTTATAATAAATTTGATAGTTATTTTGAAAAAATGCAATATTAAAAAACTGGAATAAAAGTAATCTAAATGTATAAATATAGTTTTGTTAATAAAGCAGAAACGATAAATTTGTGCTAAATATCGTTTGAAAAATTATTTAACAATAATAATCACATCATTTGTTATTTTAATTTATTTTGAGTAAAATTAAGATTTAATTAAATTTCATATTTGACTATGTTCAATTATCTTCTTCTTTTAAACTTTGCTTTTCACAAATATATTAATTTATTTATTCAAATTATTGCTTAAATGTATAATTTATTTTAGTTCTTCTTATAAGATTTTACAATACTCTTTGCATATTTAGCAGTTTTAACAAATAGGATTAATTAATAATGGATAAAAATATTCAATAAAAATTTTTAAAAATATATTTAAAAAAGTATTTTTGTATTGTTTGCTTTGAATTCAATTATTTTTGGCAAAGTTAATTGGAAGTGGAAATGTTGTAAGAATCATTCAAAAGCTCATTCAATTCAAATATCTGCCTTTGCCTTTAATTGCATCATTAACTTTGATATTATTATTAACTTTTTTTTTTCTACAAATTTACACTATTTTCTATAATAATTCAATTAAAAATCAAGCAAATATCTGTTGTAATTTTTTTAATAATTTTTTAGCATTTTTTTGATATTTAATTTTAGCAATTTTTGATCAATTATAATGCAAACTTGTAGTCTTCTATCAGAAATGATCAGCTTTTTGTATGAAAAAATAATTAAAATATTAAATTTTTAAGTTTTTTTATATATAAAGTGACCATTCAATCGCAGAATAGACTTTAAAAAACAACTGATTACTGTAAGATACTTTTTGATTATTTCTTTAATGTTTATAACTTTATTAAAGTATGTAATGTTTTTGCTATATGTAATGCTCATCAAAATTAATAATGGGAAAGCCAAACAGTAAACTCAAAAACGATCAAGTGAAAACATATGCAAAACAAACATATTGTGAGTGATTTGTATTATTTATTTATTGGCAAGTATTAATATAAAACTTATAAAAATTACAAATTTATCAAAAATATTTGAAAAAAAAATAGCAAACACTTAGATCTCACTTCATTGCTTACATATGATTACTAATTTTGTTTTTGACCGATTTAATTGAAAAGGTTCTGCCAATTTGTTTTTGCATAATTTTAAGTTTAAATAAAATTGAATATTAATTTAAAAAATTTTTATTCTTTTTTCAGTTACTGAAAAGGAAATCAAACAATGGCAAGTTTGCATTTCAAATATTTTATTATGTATTTAATTATATTTTTCAGCAAAGCTTTTAAAAATAGCGCTTAAAAATTTTTGAATATTTTATTTTTACATATCATAAAAATAAATCCATGCATATAGAAAATAAATATTTGAATTTATACTGTAATGAAAGCAGAACAAGTACTCAACTTCGTAAATTACGATCTAATAAAATTATATAGAAACATATTTCAGTACAGTAAATTTCTAATATCATTACAATATTTTAGTACTATGAAAACTAAGATATTGGTTTATTATTAATTATTTGGAATGTAGTTATCAGTATGTAAAGTTGAGTTTAAAAAGTTTGAAGTATTTTGTAGGTACAAAGGATTTGTTCGTGATTGTCCGAATGGAATGCTTACCGAAGCTGTAAGTATTTTTAGCTCTTTCTGCTACTGATTAAAAATAAAGATTAAGGAAAAATTATAAGCGCAGAAATTTCAACCGATATTAACAATGTAAATTACTTTTCATAGATATTAATTTTGAAAATTAATTTGTGATATTAAATTTTAGTACTGATGTAAATAAGATTTGCGTCAAGAACAACCAATATATAACAAAATTTTTAAAAATTGCTTGCAAAAAAAGTTTTAAGATTTTTTACTCATTAATTTTAGAATTAGTTTAGCTATCTAATTATTTTATTTCAAAATAGAATATAAAAAAGGTAATAATAATAATCCAATATTAATAAATACTTACTTTTGCTTTAAATTTAAAATTAGTAATAAAAATTAACTGCATGTCGTTTTTTTTACCTGGTTTTATGAGATGTATAGCAAAATTAAATATGCTTAGCTATGTAATTACACACTTTTTTTGATGGTTAGTAAATATATAAATATTTGAAATTATTATACTTCAATGATCACTTTACAGGGATTTCAAAAAATTTACAAGCAATTTTTTCCTCAAGGTGATCCATCTGATTTTGCATCATTTGTCTTCAAAGTTTTCGATGAAAATAAGGTTTAATACAAAATACATTTAGCAATTATGCAAATAATGCCAAAAATTACGAATAATTTTAAACTCGATAACTTAATATTCACATTTTTAGGACTAAAAATGCTAACTTTTTAAACACTCATTTGAATTCACTTGCTTTAATTCAGTTTTGTCTGATTCAGTTTCTAAAATCATTTTGTGCATAAATACACAAAATGAAAACAGACTTAAAAACGGACTTTTTTATTAACCAGCACTTCTAATTAACATAAGTACTCTTTTTTTTGTTAATTTTTAAAAAATTTATTTAAATTTAAAAAGTTTATACTTCAGAGTATTTATGTATTTTATAGGATGGAGCAATTGAATTTCATGAGTTTATTAAAGCTTTATCAATTACGTCACGTGGTAATTTGGACGAAAAATTACATTGTAAGCAAGCAAATTTATTTAATCCTTTATACAAATATAATACAAAAGCATTGCGAATTGTAGAAGATTAAATTTTTATATTTTGAGGGGCTTTTAAATTGTATGATTTGGATAACGATGGATTTATTACTCGCAATGAAATGTTATCAATTGTTGGAAGTATATATAAAATGGTTGGTTCAACAGTGAAACTGCCAGAGGAAGAGAATACACCAGAAAAACGAGTAGAACGAATCTTTAGAATGATGGATAAAGTAAGTAACTGTTAAGTAAATGTTTAATTTAGTGTATCGAATTAATGAAAAAAATTCAATCATTTAAAAGTTAAAATTGCATTCAGTAATGTCATTATTTCTAATAGCTAAAATAATTTCGATTCTCATTTGATTGAAAAAATTTGTGACAGATGCAGAAAACATTTTTTTGTATGTAGAATTTACAACTATAATATTATAGTTTTGTAAAAATAACTATAACACGTTTATGTGGAAATATTTGCATAAAACATAAAAAAACAAAAAATTGGGAAAAATGTTAAGTTATGAGAGGTACTATGTTAAAAATTTATGATTATAATCTGAAAAAAATGCATTAAGTTAATTTTTAATAAAAGTCTTATTGAAAACTTTTCTTCCATTGTTTTTTCCATCAAAAAAAGATTAAAAGTTCTAAAAATAACCATGATTACAGAATAACGATTCTCAGCTAACACTGGAAGAATTTAAAGAAGGTGCTAAAGCTGATCCATCCATCGTTCATGCGCTGTCATTGTATGAAGGATTATCCAGTTGACTGAATCTTTTGATACATATTTATTTCATTCTTACGTATTTTGATAATTTTATCCACTTATCATGGTACTTACTCGATAAAACGGACAGTAATATCATAAGATTACTTTCAAACTTAATTTACAGTTCTATTACTTTTAATTAATTTTCATCTACAAAGGTTTATGATATTCACAATAATTCGATTACACTTTTCATGATTACATTATAAATAAGCTCTAATACTAAGATATTAACGTATTAGTAGTAATACATTAACTAATAGGTTTGCTGAGCAAGAAAATTTTAAAGCAACAACAGAAACTTGCATAACTTTTGTTAAAAAGTATCCATCATCAATACTTCAATTGATATCTTATTCCATACATCTGCTTTTTCCCATTTTGTTCATGAAATAACTAAAAACCTCATACTGTTTTATTTATTCCTTCCTTTGTAACTAATATTTAAGCACAGACATATATGTATATATATGTCTTAATATTTTATGAACAAAATCATATCTTGATTTAAAACATTTTTCAAATTAAAAAAAATTTTTTTAATATATATTTTAAGCAACTGTATAATAATGTTGTTTCAGATACTAAAAATTGCAATGAATTCAGCACTTTTAAAAATTTTCATATTAAGTTAGAATATAAAGTTACAATTACATTCACGCATCGTAAAAGGTTTGCGAGAAACAGATCATTGCTTGATAACTGCAAAATCTGTCAGATACAAGTGTCAAATGTCAGTTGATATTCGCACTAACAAAAAGATTGATTGAAATTCTGTTCTGATGACTGAAGATTCCAGTCAAACTGCAAATTTATCCCCAGCATGCATGTCGGTATTACTTCAATTTACTATGCTCGCTTTTGTTCAGATTTTCAGAACGTCTGAAGCACCAATGACCATTCCACGTTTGATTTATTTTTGTATAAATCTATGTTTCTTCTAATGTGCAGCTTATGTCTCTTATTACACCTATTGCACTTATACGGTTTTTAATACTCACACAGAACCAATTATGTAAATGAAGTTGTTAATGTGAATACGTGATGTAATATTTTCAAAAATCTTTCCAACTTCAAAAAAATTACCTCTTTAATAATTGGGGCACTCAACGTATAAACAGCAAGTCACGTTGTAATTTCTAAATTTCTGATGTCAGTGTTACCTTGTAATGTAAGAAGGAATGTTACCAACAATGATTTGCATGTAAAACACGAAAGACAATAACGCATCATTCCTGCCTGATCAGATTACTAAATTTCAACCAGAAAATGCATGCTCTGCCATACTTTGATGCATGTTCTAACTTTTCTAATTTATGTTGCAAATACCAAACTGGAAGGTTTAAAAAATCTTAAATCGAAGGAATCAATTAGATAAGGAGCAAACTAATAATTTCCGAAGACATATCTGCAGTAATTTTCATGATATAGTCCAGAAAAAGCGAAAAATGAGGGCTTTACTTCTTATTTACATGCATGATTGTTGACTGAAAGTGAGAAATTATAAATAACAGACATATGTTCAGAGATAGTGGATTTTCCATGTTAAAACTTAAGTCCGATAAAATGAGAGAAAAAACTAAAAGACTAACATGTAGCACTATCAAATTATACTGTTAACGCTGAAGAGATAATTGAGTTTTTTTTTTTGCAATTTCTATCGTTCATTAATCAAGATTCTTTCATAGCACCAGAAGTGTTATGAATCATGTCATCAAAAAGGGAAGTAAAAGCGTCACTGATGCATCAACCAGTAATATACTCGTTTAGTGCTGTTGCAATTATTTAATTCTTCGTCTGAAATTTGCAAAAAAATCCAAAATTCTAGGAATTGAGACATTTTGCTTTTGAGGAGCAAAATACGTTAACAGCATATGGATCGATAGATTACATGTAGTTTAGTACTTCTACGAGTTGAGTACATTTATATGTATCTTTTGTTTTTAATAAATAAGATAAAGTAATTTTTGGTTTTGCAACAATTGGTTCGATGACTAAATGGTATATTTTCCGCTTTTTGAAGTTTTTCCTAATTTAAATTTTAATATTTATTGTATTCCGAGCAAACTAATGCCAAAACTTGCTGATTCCACTGCAATTAAAAAGTTTTTTCTGCCAATTTTTTCACCTGCAAGAATGTTAAAATAAATAATTTTTAAAGTCACAAGTTCCACATAACTCAAAAATTATTGCTACTTTATTTAAGTTTGAATTTTCTTTAGAAAAAAATGTCGGGGAGCACTGCAGATTCCTTCGTAGTTACTTGCATGAATGTTTAGAAATCTGGGTTGCAACGAACCATACAGTGATTGTATAGCAGAAATATCAGTGGGGGATAGTTTTGGTACTGTATCGAAGAATCCTTGATAGTGTGATGCGATCAAAGATTCCTGTTGAGGAAGGCCTAATACGGTTTAATTCATGTGCCATAAACCCAATTTAAGTTTCTTCCACATGGGCCTTTTAAAATATTAACAAGAACTAAAATTTGCATCACTAATTCCTTCCATATTTACCACTATAATATAGCAATGATAGTAAATGAGCATTTTTTAAAACTTTTTTAAGCAATAAAATTACTCAAATAATCTTAAATTACTATAAAAAAGTAAACGAATTTCTCGAGACAAAGTCAGAAAGCACTGACCATGGGTCGCTATCATTAATATGAGTTTGTCCGTAATGTATTCGGTCATCTGGATAGAATGCGTGAGCTAATTCATTTCCTTGTCCATCAAATGGATAGTTATCACCATGATCAAATGTTGCAAACATAACTTCAATGTCTGCTTTCTCATATTGTCTTTCGACAAATATTACATCAATGACATTCTCCCATAACTTAATAATCCACTAGTAATTATTATTCTTTTCCAATTATACTTGAAGTTAACAAACTTAAAAAGTAAAAGTCTAATCGCCATAATTTTCCGGCAAGTTTTTCTGCAAAATCAAATTGTATTTTTTAGCTTGAGCTTAGAGATTAAGCTCAAGCTAAAAAATACAATATCCACTTAAAGAATTACATCAAATAGAATTAAATAGAAGAATATGCTACGTAATAAGATTACATTTGTATATCATAGCAAAATATACAAATGTAATCTTAAATTAGACCT